TTTCACTACTTTTGGTTTTCAAAATTTGTTCATTAAGATTTCATCTTTTTTTTTTTATTTTACATTTTTTTTTTCGATTTTTTAGCGTTAGTGACATTTTAAAATGAATGACTAAACACACTGGTTGTCTCTTATCTGTTGCTTACCTGCATATACAATCCAAAATACCTGCATTTCGGAGCCAATTTGTTTCAAATTACGCCAATTTTTTTTAAATTACCTAAATTCAAATACGCCAATTTGTTTCAAATTACCTAGATGTTGAATGTGATTTATATTTATTAATGCATTATCAAGAAGTTTTTTGAATAATTTTTTTTTATAAAAAAAACTAAATTAAGCAGAATTTTTGAATTTCAGATATGACAGTTTCAAGCAAAAAACAAGCTTTTTTGTGCAAACATGTTTTTGAATACTAGAATTTGAAATATGGAAAATAATTTTGAAATACGAAACATATAAATATCAAAAACTTATAATTATGAAGATGAAAATGTTATGATGAACTTAAAGATGAACTTAATATAATTATATTATAAGAAAAAAACATAACAACATTTCTATATAATGAGTAAAAAACGTTACTAGATCTCTATATTATATAAAGATGTTGTTATGTTTTTTTATCTTGCTTTTGAATACATGTGAGTTAGATATTTATTCTTTTTAAATTTATTCTTTATTTGTTGTTGTTGTTTTTGTTGTTGCTGTTGTTGTTGTTGTTGTTGTTGTTGTTGTTGTTGTTGTTGTTGTTGTTGTTGTTGTTGTTGTTGTTGTTGTTGTTGTTGTTATTGTTGTTGTTGTTATATTTACAAATATATATAGAACAAATATAATGTACCGCAACACAGTTAAGTTACAAAAAACAGTGAAAAAAAAAACATTCTCTCCAAAAAATAACTAAATATATAGTTTTATTAATATATAATTAAAAAATTTTTTTTATTATATATAATTTAAAAAAAAAAATGAATACAAACAGGTGTCTAAATATTAAATAAAACTTTCTATCTATGAACGGGTCTTTTTATTTCAATAATCAAAGTTCTCTTCAGTGATATTTTCTCGCCTAGATATTTTAACTAATTATTAAAAGAGTTAAATACTTAAAAAAAACAAATGTACCTTATTTATAACATATATATATATATATATATATATATATATATATATATATATATATATATATATATATATATATATTATATATATATATATATATATATATATATATTATATATATATATATATATATATATATATATGTATATATATATATATATATATATATATATATATATATATATATATATATATATATATATATATATATATATATATATATATATATATATATATATATATATATATATATATATATTATATATTATATATATATATATATATATATATATATATATATATATTATATATATATATATATATATATATATATATATAAATATATATATATATATATATATATATATATATATATATATATATATATATATATATATATATATATATATATATATATATATATATATATATATATATATATATATATATATATATGAGCACGGCATAGTCAAGCGCTTGAAAAATGGTCAGAAGGCTTTTCACGCAATAACTATCAGTTCTCCAAATTTTTGAAGTTTCTATGTATTGTAGTTAATATATTTTGACTTTACTAACACGGCATAGTTGCCCAATTGTAATAGACTTCATATAATAATATTAAATTATATATAATTAAAAAAAATTTTCTAATTATATATTAATAAAGCTATATAATTAGATATTTTTTGGAATGTTTTTTTTTTCTCTTTGTTTTTTTTTAACTGTGTTGTGGTACATTTTATTTGCTCTATATATATTTGTAAATATAACAACAACAGCAACAACAACAACAACAACAACAACAACAACAACAACAATAATAAAAGAAAAAATTTAAAAAGAATAAATATTTAACTCACATGTATTCAAAGGCAAGATAAAAAAACATAACAACATCTCTATATAATATAGAGATCTAGTAACGTCTTTTTACTCATATAATATAGAGATGTTGTTATGTTTTTTTCTTATAAAATAATTATATTAAGTTCATCTTTAAGTTCATCATAATTATAAGTTTTTGATATTTATATATTTTGTATTTCAAAATTATTTTTCATATTTCAAATTCTAGTATTCAAAAACATGTTTGCCATGGTTGCCACGGTTGAAAAACAAAAGTATTTAAAGAGTTTTAAAAACTTCATGAAACAAACTCTGTGTGGCAATACCTTTGTGGTCATACCTGTGTGGTCAAAAATACCTTTTTGAGTGAAAAATCTGGGGCTGTAGCAAAATGTTAAAAAATGCGCTAAAGAAATCAAGACCTGTGGTGAGTAGTGGACTCCATACGCAGTTAAGGACATCTCATAAAATAAATTTATTGAAACGTTATCCACTTGAAGTTTCATTTTCGCCATCTACTGCTAGTGTTTCCTGATTTGCAACTCGTTTGACCCAGAAATAAAGTTTCAAAATTGTTTTACAAAAAGCGAAAACGAAGATACACTGCTAAATGTTTAAGCTAAAATGACGGCCACCTAAGGCTTGCCATTCAGAGTTTTTATAACATAGATTGAGCTAAGAAAATCGCTGATAGCTCAAGGTTTTGACGTGCCAAAATCATCCGAATCCATTCACCAAATAGTTATGAAATATGCTACTAAAATTTGAAACTCGATAATAAAAGAATTATCTGAACTTCAACAGAAAGGAAACCGTTTTAGTCTTACATTTGACGAGTGGACTTTAAAAAATAGACTTTATTTGAACATTAATGTTCATTCTCAAAACAGACTTTGGAATTTAGATAATTTTTGGACGAGATTTTGGTTAATGGACATTTTCAGCAGAAATGTGTGTTAATTGACAACCTACTGAAAGAACACAACTTAAAAATTGATTGTGATATCGTATGTATTGCCACGGATGGTGCTTCGATTATGAAGAAAGTGGAACAATTAATGTTCGACGACCAACAACTTTGTCTACTATTGTCTAACAGCAATGCCATCCGAAACAGATGATGGCGAAGATACCATAATGAGCGGAGACAAACCTTTGAGATTGACATTACAGGAGCAGCTGGACATGGCATAAATAATGAAATGAAAATGAAAACAGTACCAAAAACAAATCGAAATATTTACAGTTTGACTAAAATGATACGAAAAATTTTTTCTATATTTAAGGAAGTGGTAGGTGGTACCAACTTTATTTTTGGTATACGATTATATTTTAACTATTCCCCCAACAAGCGTAGAACGGGCTTTTTCTTTATCTGGAATGTTATATACGAAAATTCGATCATTTTTAAATGACGAAACTTTAAATAAATTATGTTTTTTGCGGGCCTATTTCAATAATAAATAATTTTTTTGATGTATTTTGTTTATTTATTTCAAATGAATTAATTTTATATATTATTTTAACTTAAACAATAAAGTTTTGGAACCGTTTGTTGCTTTGGGTTTTTATTTAATGATTTTTTTAGTATTTTTAAATACCACTATTAATACCGGTTTCTCGGTTTTCACTAAATCTAATACCGAAAAACTGGTATTTAATTTTTGGTCCTGTATTGGAACCCCTATACATAACTAAAGGTTTATTTTTCTTTTTTTTAAACTTATTTTTTCTTCTAAAAATATAAACTGTTATAGTATTTAACTTTATTATATTACTTAGTACATCAAATATATCTTAATATTATTTCAGTTATTTTTAAAGCATTTTGATTGTAATTGAAATAAAAGTATATATTGATAGAACTTTTTTTTTTTTTGTCTTTATATATTTTTACACCTAGTAGATATATGTAGTTGTAAAAATATATGAAGATAAAAAAGAAAAAAAAAACTTGTTTTGTGACTTACACCATGTTGATTCTCACCAACTCATATATTAGGCCGAGTTATTAAAAAAAAGCTATTGCTTTTGCTCAGCCTTCTTGGAGTAATTGCTCAGCTTTACGTGAATAAAAATTCTCACCAGCTCATATATTAAATATCTTTATACTTAAGACCACAAAACAGACACTTTTTTAAAAAGTAACTTTGGTATCTACATGAAGTTTTTATTTAAAATGATTCAGTATTAATTTTTATCCATAGCAACGCTTTGATTTTTTGGTTGTTACGCATTTTTGCAATGAACTTATACGACAAAATGCAATAAAAACTTCTCTATACCGGCTCTATAAAACAAAGAATTGTTATTCAGCTATTTACTTTTTTTTATTAGTCATGTCTTTTGACCATTCATCATTTTGTTTCAATTAAAGCATTTCATACTTTTTTTGTCAACGTAAGTAACAGATTGTGTTTCATAATGAATTTAGATTTACCAACAGTTCACAGCGTTGAAAGAAGTTCAAATAAAGTTTTTCTTTTAGTTTATATAACTATTTTAGTTTATATTGCTGTCAATTTTTGTTTTAATTATTGAGGTCAGCATTAGCGTTAAAATGCCTTAAGTCTACTGCTTTAATTTTGTTATCTGTAGCTTATCAGCTACATATAACAAAATTTTTTACTCTGGATTTTATTTGGCTTCTATTTGTAATATTGTTTGGTACTTTTAGGGCAATTTTTAATTTAGTCTCACAAAGTGGATTCTAGTGAATTTTGCTTTTAAAAATAAATAAATATGACGATAGTGAAAGTAGAAGATATCCCAAATTCAAAGTATCCTGCCACTATGAGCTGCTCACAAACGCATATATAAGAAACCGTCACTTGTATTGTTTTATACAAGCTAGGAGGACAAAAGTCAGTTCAAGAAATTGACTAATTTATAATATTTCACAATTACAGTTCCGCAATTGATAATATTTCACAATTACAGTTCTGCATTGGTAATAACTTGTAACAGCACATTTTAATAAAATTATCAAAAAAAAATAAAAATAAAAATAATAAAAAAAAAAAAAAAACGAATTTCTGGCCATATTTTAGTTTTCTTTATACAAAAATCTACGTTTACTTATAAATAAAATAGAAAAAATATATACAACAATTTTCATTAAAAATAAACCCCTTTTGCAATTCAGTATCAGTTTTAGCAATGTAAATAATATGAAATTTTTTGACTACAAACAAAAAGCAACAAAAAAGCGACAACCTTCTATTTATATTTAACATATTAAAAATTTTGTAAAAATTCGAATAATTGATTAATACTTCAACACGAAAGTAGTTATAAATATTTCAGAAAAGTTTGAATTATATATTATATTAAAAAAAATAAATCAAACTCAATCACATTTTTCAATCAAATTTTCATTTAAAAAGATCCAGCTTTCTCACATCCTTTGATGAACGCAAAGGAATGACGAAATCTTTCCATTTGTTAGGTTGGTCAATTAAGTGCTGCCAAGCTAAAATCTCAACACCTTCAGCGTCATCCCAATTTCCCATCTTTCCACCTAAGTTGATTCGAGTGCAACCTAAAAAGTCGTTTTTCGCTCTGTCCCAGTCCCAAATCTGAAATAATAAAATAATAAATAATACAAAGAATTATTAACTAAAAAATTGAAATATAATAAAATAATATATTGATTATAATAACGTACTGTAAATTCAATCCCAAAATCAGATAAATCTTCATAATCAAGTTCATAGCTTAATTGAAAATCCCAAACTGGATTTACTGTGCGTCGTATGATGGGAGTCTTTTTTTTAGTTTTGCTGCTTTTTAAAGGAAGTAGATAGCTGTAAGAAAAAAAAGAATTTATTGAAATTTATTGGATTGTTAATTTTATTCCTTTTTATCGAGTTACATCTAATACCAAATACTAACCATTTACAAAAAGGATCTGAAAATCCATCGCTATCGGCTGCTGGTAAATGACAAGCTTCTTTTATATGAACATTTATTTTCCCTGAAGATTTCTTTTTCCCTTTCTTTTTCTTTTTTGATCCGAAAAGTTCTTCCTGTTCATCGTGCCGTTTTTTTTCTTTTTCATTTAACAAGCCTTGATCTTCAAACATTAACGCTATTTTAAGTTCACCTACAGTAAGATTTGCAGTAGGTGCTTCTCCCTTAAAAAAATAAGTTCACCTACAGTAAGATTTGCAGTAGGTGCTTCTCCCTTAAAAAAATAAATTTAAAGCAGACTTAATTTAAACAGGATTCTAAAATTTTTAAATATTGTGTTCAAACCAAAATTTTGTGAAATCTTTCAAAATAAAATATTATGCAATACATGATTTATAAATAATGTGTCGTCCATAAAGTACGTACGCTTTTTTTTTTCGTCCACCCCCCCCCCCCCCCGTATTGTTATCCAACAGTAACATGCTTTGACATTAACTAACACATTGATTCATTTATTTGTTTTAAAATTAGGTTTGAATTCTATGACTATTTTTTTCTTTTGTTTTAGCCTTCACTTACCTTTTCTTTATCATTCTCCTACCCAAGGCTGCACTCTTTTCAATTTTATTTCCAATTAAATTAACCATATGCTTTATTTAACAACTAATATAGTTGTTATTAACTAATATATTGATGTTTAAATACTTTTAATGGTTAGGATCTAGTATCTCTTGCAATCATTAAAGTTCAAATTTTTTTTCCCCTCAACCTCTTAATCAGATATTTAACTTAGTGTTAGTTATTTAGTAGGAAACTAGTTAACTTAGTGTTAACTTTAGATAGTTAGCTTTGTGTTTGTTATTTAGTTGACCAAACTTTTATAATAAAAACTAATCAATTAGAAAACAAAAAAAAAATGTTGTGTGGAGTATTGGTTTGTTCCCTCTAGTTGTCTGTTGTGATCTTGTTATGTTTTCATCTACTTTCCAATCGGGTGAATAGAAAGCTGAACACACTTACTACTTTGCGCTTATGGGCTAGTGCATAAGTGAGACTGATGTAAAACCAACAGTATCAAGTAAGACATAAATATTTCAATCGATTGAATGCATACATTAGTCACTATAGGCCACAAGTAGTGGTAAATATGAATCACAATGTATCACTATAACTACTAATTATTTTATGACCGTTAGATATGATGTGTAAATCTTTGTATGCTCCATAACGTCAAGTTTAATTAAAAACGTGAGAAGTGAGCCAATATATACACATAACATGGGAAAAGAAAATAATATTTAAATCATGATTTTATGACAAATTAGAAATGAGTTAGGATTAGTTAAATTAAGTTTGACAAAAAAGTTATTATGATAATAAAAGGAAGCTAAAAATGTTGAAAATAAAATTTAAATAGAATAGACTAGATAGAATAAAGATTAGACAACTAATATTAATAAATTAAAAAGTTAGCTGATTAATTTAAGTTATGATTTTTTTTATTTTTAATTTGGATACAAATTTGAGTTTTGGTCACAATACTAGTATTTATACAAAAAGAGAGTTAACAATAAATAAATAATAATAAATGAATAATATTAGAAAGTAATAAATAAATAAGTTAAACTAAAAATTAAAGTTTAAAAAAAATATAAAGGTTACTTTTTCACACAATGCATATAATTTAGGTATTGTGGTATTAAGTTCTTGCTTATCTACTAAAGAATCCATATTAAGCATAACTTCACCAAGAAAAATATTTCTTCCAAGCCTTTCTTGATGCCAAACTGACACCCATAATGTTCGCCCTCGAAGATCTCGTTGGGAAATAGGAAACTAAAAAAAATAAATAAAAATAAACAGGTAACTGAAACAAGATTGAACATATAGTCATTGTTACAGTTACATAGAAGTTACAATTATAGATGTTCTTAGGGAAAAACTAGAGAGTTGATTTTTAGAGAAAACCTAAAGACGGTTTTTTAAAAAAAGTTACAGTTAAAGAAAATTACATTTATAGAGGTGAAAAAAAATAAAAACAAATATTTTAAACAACTTTAATTAAACATTAAAAAAAAAAATCAATATCATTTAAAATTTGATTTGAATTACCGTCAATACTTCTTCCCAATCTGGATCCAATGTTTTCTTTTTTGTTTTAGTTTTCTTTTTTCCTTTTTTCGTTTTATCAGGTAGCAAGTAAACTTTGCAGTATCTATTTGAAAAAACAAAAAACATAAAAATCCATAAAAATTACAAATCAGGTAAACAATTTTAATATTAAATTAATTATTTTGAATAATTAATTATTTTGAATAAATCTACTTTGTTGGCATATCTTTCAGGTTCATAAAAGTAAAAAACCTACAAAAAATTTTATTAATCAAGTAATTAATATTAGTAACCAAATTAAATAAAATTACATTATATTCTATATATAAATTGAAATATTTCAAATGATTTATTTTGTTTATTTAACTTATTTATTATAAATAGGAAGATAAATATTTGCATCTAGTTAGCATTTTTTTTCTAATTATTTTAGGATATGAACATCTATAGTCTCATAAAAATAACAAAATAAAATTATTAAATACAAAAAAATTGCATATTTATACGCAAAATACTCAAAAAAGTGCATATGAGGAGCTGCGTATTGAGTATATTGTGAGTATTATACTCAATACGCAGTATGCAAAAAAAGTGCATTCTGATGTATGGTATGGTATGGTATGTATGTATGAATATAAGGTGACAAATGCATTGAAAATTTGTAAAATTGGGAAATTTTGGATACATTCTGTTGATATTTAGGGGTTGCTCAGCCCAGTTTTGAAGTTTGCAAGGTTGCTTGAACCCACATTTTTCATATTTTGTCATTTAAGTCTTTTATTTTACTAAGTTGAGAATGTTATCAATATTTTATTATTTGTTCATCTTATGAGTCATTATGCATGAAAAAACACTGCTATTTTTTTCAGAAAATTAATAGGTTAAAAATAAAATAAGTCTGCTGGCATTCAGAACACCCAGTGTAATATTTCATGATCCAGTTAAGCTATTAAACAGTATTGCACTACTGCTAAAATTATTGCAACATCCTGAAATTACAAATGAAATCATTGTCTTGAATGAAAACACATTTTTAAAACTAATTATTAGACAGATATTTTCAAAGTTGATGTAAAGCAAATGGAGACTAGAAAAATGAAGTATAGAGTATTGGTAAAGCTATTGCTGTGATCATAGGGCACAAGTCATCTAAAAGACAATTTTTACAAACTTATTATTTCTTTAACAATAATAATGTAAGAAAAAGTGCCTTGTAACAGATTAGGTTCTAGACTTTGGGCAAAGATCTAGAATTCTATTAAAACAATGTTATCATGTTATAACACATATTGAAAAACTTGTTGAGAAATATGGAAAGCTGAAAAAGAATAAAGGGCGCAAAACAGAAACTTAGCAAAGAAATGAAGAAATTTTTTCTCAAGAAATCGAAGAACTATTTGATATTGCTCATGAAGATGCTTTAAAATTAATCTTATAGAAGAAGACAAGAGTTTTTTTTTAAGCTAAAAAAAAGGAAGAAAATGCTATATGATTTTAGTTGATTGTGAATTATATAAGAACAGCAATTTTTTTTTTCCAACATCTTTGCTTCCAACAAGGCTGCAATCAACCACTATTAGAGTTGGAAGTTACTGGAAGAGAGAAAAGATGAAGTTTATAGAGCAAGATAATGATTGACAGACAACTTAAAAGATTGCAAATTATACGGATAAGGAAAGCAAGATGAAGGAAACGAATTCCAAAGAACTGACGTTTCAGGATAAAAACTAGATAAATAAGAGTTTTTGGAGCACCTAGAAACAGTCACAGTAAAAAGATGAGACTTAACTGAATGACAAGTAACACAAGAATGAATTTTAATAGATGGCACAAGAGATGCTAGCTCTTTAGAGTAGTGCCCATTACAGTATTTGTAGAAAAGAGAAAGAGAAGCAACATTTGTGACGATGTGATGATGATTGGAGGTTAGCTGCAAGAGCAGGTCCAACTATGTTTACAATGCATTTTTGGGCATCATTTGAATATCTGCCCTAGATATGGCAACAGTATTCCATACAAGGACGGATTTGAGATTTATAGAGATAAAGAATAGAATCAGGAGAAGAAAGTGTCAAGCTCGATAAAGAGATGCAACCTTAGCAGATGATAATTTTGCAATGGATTCGATATATGGTTTTTAAAAAAGATTAGAAGTAAGAGTTAATCCTAGAAGACAATGGGTAGATGAGTCATTGAGTACTTAATCGTTCATAAATATAGGAAGATTTAAATTATTGCAAGAACAATTGGCTGAAAAAAATTGGGTTTTATCTGAATTTAGTTCAGATAAACTGAATTTAGTTCACCAGAAACTGTGAGCCCCATGCTGTAGCAGAAGTGAGAACCTTTTCAAGCTTAAATGCCCCCTCCAAGCAATCAGAGAGTGTTGGCTTTTTATCAAGACAAGAATAAATGATAGTGTCACCAGCGAACAATGCCACCTTAAATGTGAGAATATTCGGAAGATCATTAATGTAACTTAAAAAGAATATAGGGCCAACGACGGAACCTTGAGAAACTCCTGAAATAACAGGATATAAAGAGTAGTGCTGTCCATCAAAGACAACTTTTATACTATGATTGAAAAGGAAGGATTTAATAATCTTAAAGATGTTACCTGATACACTATAAGAAAAAAACTTAGGGAGAAGACCAGTATGCCAAACTTTGTCAAAAGCTTTAGAAATGTCAAGAGCGTTAGCCTTAACCTCTCCACCTCTATCTAATGCACGATAAAACCTATTGGTTATTACTGTTAGCAAATTAGCTGTAGAACGAGAAGATCAAAATCCATATTGATGATCAGAAAGTAAGTTATTAGGTTCAAAATTAGAGATTTAGTGTTTGTTAATTAAAGACTCAAAAACCTTGCTTATGATAGGAAGAAAACTAATGGGACGGTCACCAGAATTTTTGAAAAAAAGATAAAAGATACCACTTTAAGCATGAAAGCCTGCTGGAAAGCAGGCTGGAAAACAAGACTCTGATAAGCACTTGTTAAAGAGTTTTGAAAGTATAGACCGCAACTCTGGAGCACACTTCTGCAAAACTATAACGGGTATGTTGTCTGAACCAGAAGCTGTAGAAGAGTCTAAGCAGGAAATCACTTTAGATACAGAAGCTAGAGTGATAAGAATGTCAAGCAATGGATCAACCTGTTTGTGGGCTATATCAGGTAGAAAGCAACTAGTGGAATTGAGAGATGATATTGATGAAAAGTTCTTAGCAATTCAGCTTTGTCTTTAGGTGAGGTCACAAAATCTAAACCATACAAAAGAGGTGGAATAACAGATTTGCCCTTATTATTGATACTGTTAAAGATTCTCCAGAAGTCACGAGAGCCAATGTTTGAGATGAAATAGGAGATTTCGTGACCTGAGAATAGCGGGCTTTAACATTAGATAAAACTTTTTTACAATGGTTTCTGACAACAGTAAACAGATGTTTGTTTTCTGATAAATTGTTTTGCTGATAGATATGGTAGCAATGGTTTTGATTGGAAATTGTAACAGCATAATGTGAAGAAAACCATGGAGCGAGGCTTGACTTGGAATTGTCAAGAGGGAATAAAAGATTCCATGCCAGCCTGAATCCAAGAAGTTATGTAAGAAGCACATTTGTCAGCAGGAAGAGGAAAGATTTTCTGGAGAAACTTAGGACTGGCTAGGATCAGAAACAAGACATAAGTGGAATAGAGAAGGTAAATGATTTGGGTTGTCTGAAAAGCAAGTTGGTAAGTTGACTATTTGAGTTAGAGATTGAGAAAGGATAAAGTTGTGGGCCTTAAGGCCTGCAGAGTCACTGACACTAGAGCTAAGCTATTCAGTGTAATGAACAAGCCATTCAGTGTGATAAATTATACAAGCAACATATTTTAGACAAAAAAAAAAAGCAAAAGAGGAAAGAAAAATAAAGATTAAAAAGAAGAGAAGGAACACAGTTTGACAGCTACAGAACTGGTTTTGACAAAGAATTCTCTCAGACCTATATTAATGACAGAGTATGATGTTGAAAAACTGTTGTCAGTCCCAAAACTGGATAGAGGCACCAGTGAACACAGGAGTTACACAACAGAACAGAACAATATTAAGATGAAATAACTTTTCGTACTCCTGAAAAGTTATTCTACTTTGAGCTGGTGGTCAAATAGTGGCTCAATTTGCCATAAAAGCCATTGCCGGACATTAATGGTATTTAACTGAAGGGCTTGTGAGTCTCTCTTCATTCAACAACGATAAAATTGTATGCCTGAACATAGATGACTTTGTAACAAAGAGATCGAAATATGTGATTAGAATAAATCGGGCATTTATGAAGGATGATTGCACAGACACATCGAGTACAGTAATCCAATACCAGGAAGCACATAAAATTGTTAACTCTATGAAAGTTGTGAATGACACAGCTGCCAAAAGACGAAATACATTAATCCACAGTTTGTAAAATATATTGCTCAATTGCAATATCCAGATGTGCAAAAGCCAAACAATTGTGAATGCATTAATAAAAATCATAAACATTTAAATAACCTAATTATAACTTTATTACATTTTATTTTCTGTTGACCTTTAAATCTGATCAAGTTCAATGAGCAAACTCCAAATATAAAAATATCTTAGCATTTTGCAGTTTGTTTTTTAGTAAAAAAAAATCCAATAAAGGGTTGAGAGTCTAATTTTTAGCATTGTTGACTTTTTTTTTGTTACCCTGTGTAATGTAAGTACATACACATACATACATACATACATACATACATACATACATACATACATACATACATACATACATACATACATACATACATAAAATGTTATTTAAATTAAAAAAAAAAAATTAGCTAGAACATTAAACATATATTTGCTAAAAAATATTAGTTTTCTATGGCTGCACATATTTAAAAAAAAAGAAATCTAGAAACCATAGGTTAGAAATATATCTTCCTTACTTTAATTTTTAATATGAGAAATTTAATCTAAACAATAATTTTTTTTTTGATCTTTTTTTTAAATTCACAATACATCTTTAAAATTAAAAGCTTTTTTTTCCTATACATCTTTATAAAAAGAATTTTAACCAAACTTTACTATTTAATTAGTAACAAAA